GGAGAGAGGGCACAAATTTTGGAAGTGGGAGGGACATGTCCCACTCCATGCCTATGGTGGTTACGCCCATGCATCTTTCTGTTAAGTTTTAGCTATTTAAGCATCTTTGCAAAGTAAATATCAACAAGTGAGGTATTAATAGCTCATAACCTTTCCTCAAAACACAATTTCAAAAGATTAAAAATCCATCTTTATTGCTTATACTAAAATAGAAAGAATTACAAGAAATTGAGGCATCACATTCCACAGGAAGCCTGACCCTGTCCAAAATGTGATGAGAATCAGCACAAAGTGAACATTTGCACATGAAATACAACAAACTCTATCCCTTGTGGTTTAATACTGCAACTCAACCCTAAGTCAACATGACTGGGAAAGTTTAAAAAAAAACTGCCTATAACATTACAGGCACTCATCTTAAGTAAAGACTGTGCAAAATCTGCTTTTGTATCTGCATCTCAATAATCGTAGACAAAATCAAAAAGAAAAAAATAAGTAGGTCCTCTGGATGGGTTCTTCTTTAGTGAAATGTTTCATCTCTCCTCCAAGAGACTTCTTCAATCTGATGAGTTTCAGGTGAACTCAGCCTTATGAGCACTGCCTCCACATGGTGGACAAACAGGTTAGTCACATGCAAAAGAGGGCCATCGCCTAACAATAGGCTTGATTAGCTCTATATTACTCTGTTTTTGCCGGGGTACTGGATCTTTATTTATCAAAGAAATAAGATCCAGTTCCCCAGCAAAAACAGAGTAGTATAGTATATGCTGTGAAGTGTCAGGAGGACTGTGATCTATCATACATTGGGGAAACAAAACAGCCGCTGTCCTGAAGCATCTCAGTAATCCAGGTAAAAAAATCAAAAAGAAAAAAAATTGTGTAGGTCTTCTGGACGGGRTCTTCTCTAATGAAACGTTTCGTCTCTTCTCCAAGAGACTTCTTCAGTCTGAGAGTTTCAGGCAAAATTCAGGCTTTTAAGCCCAGCCTCCGTGTGAGGCTGAAATAGCCACTATTCAAAAGAATGAGCCAGCACAGACYAGCTACTTCGTCGGGTCAGGACTCTGCAGTTTACACTCATCTACAGGTCAGCGGTCACTCTTTCAGGGATGAAGATGTTCTCATCCTTGATAGAGAGGAACGTTGGTTTGAGAGAGGAGTAAAGGAAGCCATCTTTGTGAAGAAAAACTGTCCACCATTAAACAGAGGTGGAGGCCTTCATGTCCAGTTGTCCTCCTCCTACAATGCTGTTATTGCAAGTATGACTCAGCCCTCTGTAAGCAAAAGGTGTGAATCAGGACCCCAATAATACCAACACAAAGAGGGGAAAACAAAAACAAGGGGACATTGAACCCCACTTGCACTCACTACATAACAAAACACCAAATAACTACAGCCGAAGCATCCAAACCAATAATTCAGGTGATGGGGCACATGACCCTCCATGAAGAATAGAGCTAATCAAGCCTATTGTTCGGCGATGGCCCTCTTTTGAATGTGACTAACCTGTTTGTCCACCATGTTGAGGCAGTGCTTATAAGGCTGAGTTCACCTGAAACTCATRAGACTGAAGAAYTCTKWTGGAGGAGAGACGAAACGTTTCACTAAAGAAGAACCCATCCAGAGGACCTACTTATTTTTTTTCTTTTTGACTGCTTTTGTATCATTTCTCCTAGTGGCAGCAGCATACAACACAAACTGTTTCCATGGCCATTACTAACACGCCGTGACAGTCATTTGCCAATTAAGCCGACCCTTACCCAGCAGGAAAGTGGGGCTGTTAACCCGCAACCTCAATGAAGACACCATGTCTCATCATTAATGGCACTCCCCATATTCACTTAGTGCACATGCCTCTGAATACCCTTGTGGCCTGCTGGCACGCTGCAGTCATTATGCTAATTGCTTAATTAGTCAGGAGAGATTATGAATTAGCGTGAAATGATGAAATCTCACTTGATAATCGAGTCAGATACCTGGGTAAGGATATTAGGAAAATTCATACATCAAAGCAGAATGAAATGCAAGTTTAAAATTCAATATGTGCATAAGATAAAGGAAGGTTMGAGGGTCTGTGTGCTTATCTGTAATTAGAGTGAGACGAACCTCTTTGAAGGCAGCAGCAAATTTTAATAAACCACCATAAAACCAGATAATTACAATTTCAAATGCTAAAGTAAAGCCACTTCTGTGCTTACCTTGAGTTTCTCATAACGGTCGCTCAGGGCTGCCACCTGATGATCCCTGTGCCTTCCAACCAGCTTGCACAGCGAGCAGATCAGCTGGTCATCACTCACACAGTACATGTTCACCTTCTCCTCCTCGTGCTCCAGGCACTGCAGCCCCCTGAGGTGGGAATCGGGCATAGGCTCGATGAGCCTGTGACCGGTGAATGGCTTCTTGTTTGGGTGAGTGGCTTTGAGGCACTCCTCGCAGTACGACACCTCACACGTCACGCATGTTTTAACGGCCTCTTGAGGCGGGTCCTGCTCACAGAACTGGCACTGGACTGGTTCTGGTGGGGTGCATGGGCTGGACATGGCAGCGCTGATGGGGACCAGAGCCAGCCGGTTGCTCCCTTCCTCAGAGGGAGAGTTGGGTCCACTGTGGGGGGCCGGCAAAGGCAGCGGTAAAGGAAGCCCAGCTGACGACGAGGCTCGCTGGACTCTGTCGATGATGTTCTGCAAGGTCACGTTTCTCTTAAGTCCTTCTAGTCCACGCTCTGGACTCAGGGAGATGACATACCTACAGGTGGGGCACTGAAAGGCGCCGATGCTCTGAACGGACTCGTTGGTGGCGCAGTGGGAGACGAGGATGCGATGGGCGCAACCGAAGCACAGGCTGTGGGCACAAGGGAGCAGCAGTGGGTCTTCAAAGAGCTCCAGGCAGATTGGGCAGGTCAGCTCTGACTCCAGAGTGTCCATCCTGCTCAGAAAAGGCCAGGCGGGACCAGGCACAGCGTCGACAAAATCCAGAAGAGCCGCTCAGCTGTCTGGAGGTCAACGACAGACAGAAGGAGAAAAAGGGGAAAGAAAGCAGAGGGATTTGTGATTGAATTGTGTGTGAAACGGCTTACTTTCAGCTGCTTTCATGGGAGAGCTTATACCTCCATGGAGCAAAGCAGTTAACAGACGTCCAGAATTTCAGCACTGAGGGCTGTTTTTTAAGGTATAAACTGAATGGAAGAAGCCATTAAAATCACATTAAAGCAAATACCAAATAGATCTAATGAAATTGTAAAATTCTGGACCTTTTAAGTAAAAAATGTCATCCTTGATCAGTAATTAGTGTTCAAAAAAGCTTTCCATTTCTTTTTTCATCTCTGTGAGATAGTTTTATCAGATTTGTAGTTAAAAATGACAACATGTTTGTTTAGTCTTAAGCCTGGATTAATAATAGTGATCAGCAAAATCAAGAATTTCCTGCTCAGATCACATCAAAGATTTAAGAAACTGTCAAGAATTGCTTGAAACTGTATTTGCACAACTCCAAGCGACTCATTTCGTCTCCTCAATGGATTTGCAACAGCAGCTGATTCATGCTGTAAATGCTGTGGCTTATTAGCAATTAGAGTTAATCATTGTAAACTGAATAGTTTTACTGAATAAGGATACTCAAGACTTAATTTCTAGTTTGGATTATACTTAACTTGAAATCATTTTTTAAATCTAACTGAAGTGTGTGTTTTGTGCATTAGTATTCATATGGCAGTGGGAGTGATGTTTTGATATTAGGTGCAGCAGTGGCAGCTGTAGGCAGTTAGCGATTAGCACACATGTCAACTTATTCCTCCCACAGAGAAGATGACTTTTCTGCTTGTTTTAGCTGTCGTGGTGTCTTAGACTTGGGTTTTCTGTCATGTGTTTAACCGCATAGAAAACAGTGTGTGTGTTGTTTCTGATCACTAAACGTGTTTTCCTCTGAAGCGTGTGACATAAGTGCTGTCTGCTCTTTAGAGAGTGATTCTGTGTTGTAAAGTTTGAAGCCATCATGTCGCACAAAGTGAACAGTTCTGATTTCCAGCAGATATGTTGTCTTATTAGCATTGCAGCTAAAGCAGGTTCAAATGAGCATTTTTGATTTGTTAATTCTYACGATGCTCTTTGGGGGTATTTTTAGGAAAAGAAACCAGAACATCAGCTTCATTTGCAGCCTGTTTGTGATGGGGCATCAAAAAAACGTGGACAAAAAATTGTTCAGTTGTCATCTGGAAAAAGACAAAATGATTATGAGAAGTTGTTTTAAAATATTTAAAATAAAAACACTTGCAGACACTGTCTCTTACAGATCATTTGTGATGGTATTTTAGCTTGGGAAGTGACAGCCTTTTGCGTTTCCAGTAATTTACAGAAAATAATAATTCAGGATTCTGCAGGCTTTATGTTTAAAAGAGCCATTGTTTGCCCATTTCCTGCAAAATCAATGTTATACAAAGCCATGAAATCTACTTGTCTCCTAAAAACATACCTGATGAATTCCCATGTTTATTT